TTTATCCTTTGTTCAGACCAGGTCTCTCCGTGGTTTTAAGTTTGGTAATAAGTTGCAATTCTTGTGACAGAGAAACCAGTAGGAGAACACTTTAATCTCCCAGGACATTCTATACAAGATCTCAAAGTAGCTGGTTTACTACAAAGGAATTTCAGAAATAGACTGGAAAGAGAAGCTGCTGAATTGCAACTTATTACCAAACTTAAAACCACGGAGAGACCTGGTCTGAACAAAGACATTGGATTCTTATCTCATTATACATGACAAAGCCATTTTTCACCTTCTCACCCCTTGCTTTTTCCTGTAAGACCTATTGCAGTCGTTAAGAGTCATCAACAGGCTCATCACAGCTATCTGCCAATCACCCATTCCCACCACCCTTCTGAGTAATACCCCTCCCCACCTTCTCACTATATAGAAGGATCTGGCAACCTCTGTCTCAGTGTATCTGAAGAAGTGTGCATGCACACGAAAGCTCATACCAAGAACTAACTTAGTTGGTCTTTAAGGTGCTACTGGAAGGAATTTTGTTTTGTTTTGTTTAATTCCTGTTATGTACTGAGTTGAATAGGATCCAAAAGGCAGCAGTCTGATTGGTCCTAGAACAATAGGATTCAAAATGCAGCAGTCTGATTGGTCCTAAAACAATAGGATCCAAAATGCAGCAGTCTGATTGGTCCTAGAACAATGCAGCAGTATGATTGGTCTGCAGGAGCCACCCAATCCAGCTCCAGATGGAAGTGAATCCAAAACCTGATTGGCCTACAGGAGAATTCTGGAATTAGCCAATCAGGTGCAGCCCATTGTGTAAATAATGTATATAAAGCAGATACTGTGGGGGAACTTTCATTCCTCCTCCCACTATGAGCTGAATAAAGAGCATGAAATCCACTCTTGACTCTGAGTATATTTCAATTCCAACAAAATTGATTAACTTCATCCAGTGATACCAGGTTTTCAGATTCCTTTACACCTCCAACTTCTCCCTGCTTTGCCTCTTAGTGCCCTCCCCCAGGTAATCCCACTGCCCACTTGAGGAACCACTGGTCCAGGAAATTGCCGCTAGGGGTGTGTGAGGGACAATCCTCCACAGCTGTAGTCTCCAAGAGGCTTGCCCCTACTGCAGCAATTATTCATTCATTTAAAAATATAGGTCGCTTCTTATTCAGAATCTCAAAGTGGTTTACGATAAAGGTAGCAGAGCAAACTGCACAATCACATGTCCACATTTGAGAGGTCACTTAAAATCTGGCCTCCATGTATTGGGAAAGCTCATGCCAAAAAAGTAAGGGACTTTTTAAAGCACCCATGTTGTAAATAAAAATATGCCCTTTTCCCTTATGGGGTATCCAAGAGCCCATATACTGTAGAGTCCTTATATAGGTTCCCTATTGGTAGGAGAAAATAACAGAGGCCAACCAGAGAATATTGAGAAGCAAAGCAGCTAGTAAGCTTGATCTTTATTGATCTGTTGCAACAGGTTGCTGCCCTTACATGCAGGAAAAGAGGAGGACCCACAAAAATGCTGGGCAAGGGCTTATAAAGACTTTTGAAATTCCCATCCTCTAGATCAAGACCACCCCCAGAAACATCATGCATACATCACAGAAGGGGTGTAACCTAAGACCACCCCCCAAATACATCACACCTTCACAAAAACAAGCTGTCTAAAACAGAACATTTGTATGTTGTTTTTCTCCTGTCGCAGTTTATCTCCTGTCTGGCAAGTTACTTGATTAGATTGCCTTGGGAGCCTGGCCATTCTTTTACTTATTTCCTGGGCCAGGTCACAGGCTCACACCCTATTCATATCTTAAATGTGACAGGATTTGTGAGAAAAGAGACAATGGGGAGACTTTTCCAGTCTGACCTTGCAGAGAAACCATTTGGTCAGTTTAGGAATCAAAATGGTTCCAGGTTGGTCTTCCTGTGCTGATCTATGTACGTGCGGTTATGAACATTATCATATATCTAAGACCATAAAATTCCTATCACACCCACCAGGAACAAACAGTGAAGTGCCTGTTGCATCGTAAGTAGGCACCACAGATGCCTACATGCGATACCTGGAAAGCACATTCCGTCCCTCAAAGAATTCTGGGCACTGTAATTTCCCCCACGCCTCCTGCCCCAACAGAGCTGCAAGTCCCAGCATCCCTGAACAAACTGCAGTGCCCATAATTCTTTGAGGGGAAAATGTGTTTCAAAAGCGTCTTAAAGGTACAGTGTGTCCGCAGCCAAAGAAATGCCTGTCCGGTGGATTTCTGTCCAAAGGTGGATTCATCATTTCATCATCATTTTTTAATTTGTATACCGTCTTTCTATCTTACAATAGTCAAGGCGGTTTACAAGCTGAAGAAACAAAAAATGTACATCTTATAACGATCTAATGCAATACAGAAATGTGATAATAAAACTTTAAAATAGGCAACCTACATCAAAAAAGTAACATTCAACAATCATTAAAAAGGTAAAGGTACCCCTGCCCGTATGGGCCAGTCTTGCCAGGGTTGTGCGCTCATCTCACTCTAGAGGCCGGGAGCCAGCGCTGTCCGCAGACACTTCTGGGTCACGTGGCCAGCGTGACAAGCTGCATCTGGCGAGCCAGCACCAGCGCCGCACACGGAAACGCTGTTTACCTTCCTGCTGGTAAGCGGTCCCTATTTATCTACTTGCACCCGGGGGTGCTTTCGAACTGCTAGGTTGGCAGGCGCTGGGACCGAACGACGGGAGCGCACCCCGCCACAGGGATTCGAACCGCCGACCATGCAATCGGCAAGTCCTAGGCGCTGAGGTTTTACCCACAGCGCCACCCGCGTCCCCTCAACAATCATTAGAATAGTATTAACTAATAATTAAATAATAATTAAATATAATAACATATAAAAGTTAAACAGAAATCCACTCAACAGTTACAATAAATAATTTCTAAACTATAATCAATAAAACAACAGCAAGCCACAGTACATAAAATAATACAATACAAATTGAGACGCAGAGACTAGAGGGTGGGGCAAGGCAGGTGGAAAGAGGCCTTGCCTGATGGAGTCTCTCCCCCCCCCTCAAAGGATTTTGCACCTTTGATAATTCTTGGCTTTTAACAGCGTTGTAAGGACACATGACCGCCACCTGCTGGCCATAAAATGATTTCTCCTAGACTAGAATCACCCGCAGAGTCTCATGTTCCTTATTTATTGCATTTCTATCGTGCCTTTCTTCCAAGGAGCTCAAGGTGGAATATGTGGTTCTCCTTCTCATGAAATCCACACAACTACCCTGTGAGGTAGGCTAGGCTGAAAGTAGTAGTGACTGGGTTAGGGTCATCCAGTGTGTTTCGTGAACAAGCGGGGATTCGAACCCTAGTCTCACAGGTCCTAGTCTGACACTAACCACCACACCACACTACACCACACTGGCACATACTTATTTACTTACTTACCGTATTTTTTGCACCATAACACTCACTTTTTTCCTCCTAGAAAGTAAGGGGAAATGTCTGTGCGTGTTATGGAGGGAATGCCTACGGGTGGCGGGGGGACACCGCTGCAGTCGTGAGCAGAGGATCCATGCTTCCCCTTCCTTCCCTCCTCCGTGGCTCGCTTTGAAACAGCAAAGCGGGAGAGGAGCCGCTTACACAGGTGTAAGCGGCTCCTGTCTGGTTGGCTGCTTTAAACTGTGCTCTCTGTCCCTCTCTCCTCCCCACTCAGCTCGCTAAATAGCAGCAAAGCTTTTCAGCTCTCTAAGCCGGGGAGGAGGGAGAGAAACAGAGCCTGCTTGTTTTAAAGGAGCAAAGTGGGAGAGGAGAGGAGCCTTCTCCCCTTATACCCCTCTTCTGCATTATTAGCAGCATCCTTCTCCACAAACCCCACGCATGCTCCTTGTCCCTTGAGTGCTTTTCCTTCCCTCCCCACTTAAACCGTGGTTACAAAGCACGGATCCACATGGATCCTCAGGATTTTTGCATTGGGCTACCCCAAACTCACCGTCAGATCACATGTCTGTGGCCACAGCATGAACCACAAAAATCATACATCCACTGTTTCATTTAGAATATTTTTTTTCTTGTTTTCCTCCTCTAAAAACTACATGCGTGTTATGGTCAGGTGCGTGTTATAGAGCAAAAAATACGGCACTTAATTTCTATACCGCCCTATACCGGGAGGTCTCAGCAAAGTTTTTGTAGGAACTGTGATTAGCCAGCACCGGCGGGACGATCCTGGGCCCGATCCACGCGGGACTCCAAGGTTGCTTTTCACAAGAAAACTCTTTGGAGTCCAATAGTGACAATTTAATGAAGTCCGGGCTTGCCCGACACTCTAGCCCCATAGACCACACTGCATCTGAGCCCAAATCCTCTGTGGGCTGCGGTGGGCACCTATCTGAAGGAGCGTCTCCACCCCCATCGTTCTGCCCGGACACTGAGGTCCAGCGCCGAGGGCCTTCTGGCACCTCCCTCGCTGCGAGAAGCCAAGTTACAGGGAACCAGGCAGAGGGCCTTCTCGGTAGTGGCACCCGCCCTGTGGAACGCCCTCCCACCAGACGTCAAAGAGAACAACAACTACCAGACTTTTAGAAGACATCTGAAGGCAGCCCTGTTTAGGGAAGCTTTTAATGTTTGATGTATTACAGTATTTTAATATTTTTTTGGAAGCCGCCCAGAGTGGCCAGGGAAGCCCAGCCAGATGGGCGGGGTATAAATAATAAATTGTTGTTTAGTCGTGTCCAACTCTTCCTGACCCCATGGACCAGAGCACGCCAGGCACGCCTGTCTTCCACTGCCTCCCGCAGTTTGGTCAAAATCATCATCATCATCATCATCATCATCATCATCATCATCATCTCCGCCTCGCCCCCCTCCCAGGGCTGTTGTGGGATGCAAACCCAGCAGCCGCGAGTTCCGCAGGCGAAGGGAGCGAGGGGATCCCGGGCGGCGCGCGCCTGCCGCTCCTTCCCCAGCCCCGCCCCCTCGGCTAGCCCCGCCCCTCCCCGCGCAGGTACTTCTGCCGGTCGCGATGCTCGGCGCGGAGGCTGCTCGCGCTTTCCACGGGGGCGCAGATGGGATCCGAGCAGCGCCGCCGCCTTGCCTCCAGCCTCGCCCGGTGGGCCAGCCGCCTGCTGCTGCTACCGCTGCTTCTTCCCTCCGCCGTCGCGTCGCGGCCGGCCGGGCCCAGGATCGCCTCGCCGGCGCTGGGTAAGCGGAGCACCGGAGAGGATCCTGCTGGTCCCGCTCCTCCCTTGGGCGCCGGCGGCTCGCTTTGCGGGAGAGAGGGGATTTCGGGAAGGGGCGCGCGGCAGTGGGGTATAGTGGGGAGAGCGCTGGACGCGGACCGGGGAGAGTCCCGGGTTCAGATCCCGCTGCTCAATGACCTTGGAGGCCGTTCTGCCTCGCCTACCTCGCAGGGTGGTTGCGGTTTTGTGGGGATTAGATGAGGCGCGGGAGAACTATATACACCTTGCCTTGAGCTTCGTGGTCGGAAAGGTGAGATAGAAGTGCAACCAGTCGATCAATAAAATAAAATAAAAATTGCTTAGCGTGTTTCACTGCCTTTCCTTCAATAGAATTACTGTAACAGATAAAAGGAAGGTTCAATTTTTAGTTCTTAAGGGCGCCTGCTTTGACATGACCTCTGCAGCGTTCAGTGGTGCCTACTCTTGTGCAAAGGGCTCCAAGCACGCTGGCACTCTTGCAGTTAAGTTTGTGAGCTTTGTGAACTTAAGTCAGTTTCCCCACTTCAAAGGCTGTAATTCCCTGTGTGCTTACCTGGGAGTAAGCCTCATTGAATTCAGTGGGACTTGCCTCTGAGCAGGCGTGCATATGATTGTATGGGTGCATTAGGGAAGAAAGTCTCTGTGTATTTACTCAGAAGTAACTGCACTGCTTTCAGTGGGTTTACTCCCTGGTAGGGATGACTGAATCCGTCCATTTTGGTATCTTGATTTTGCAGTCTTAATTTTAGTTCTCCACATTAGTGTTCTTTTAATATATTTTTCAAGAAAAGGAACTCTTGAAAATTTGTCAGCATTTTAGTCTGTGTTTGTCCTAAAATGCACATTTCTTTGTACGGTATGTTGTTTTGCCTAATACTTCTTTGCAAAGCAATTATCTGCAATAGTATGCATAAGTTACTTTCACCAATATGCAGTTCTAATTGATATGGGACCGTGTGCCCACACTTACCCGGGAGTAATCCCCACTGAACACAGTGCAATTTGGATCTGAGCAAACGGCACAGTTTAGCCTAGTAGTCTAAGTCTTTGCCTAAGAGCAAGAGAGCTGGGTTCAAATCTCTCTCCCGTGTGTGAGACCCGCTGGACAGCCCTGGGCCAGCCGAGGATTCACCCTCTGCTTTCACCTCACAAGAGGGAGAGTCTGCACTGCGGGACACAAAGTGTTCAGCCTGAGTCTTTTCTGTGCCAAGAACTCACTTAGTGGTCTTGTGCGGTTCAGCCTTGGCTGCCTTACCTGCTCTGGGGAGACAATACTAGCCTAAATAAAGATTGGGGAATGATTTTTCTTTCTGGTATATTTATGCCATCTCCCTGCCAAGGAGCTCTGGGTGCCTGACATGTAATTTCCCTCCTCTCCCTTAATTCTCTCGACAACCCTGTGAGGTAGGAGACGGGGACTGAGCCATGGCCACCCTGTGAATTTCATAGCTGAGCAGGGATTCAACTGGCCGTTCTTGCCTTCTGCCTATTGCTTGTGAAATGATTCAAACACTTTCAGAGACTCCATGGGGGTGACCAATGTGGTTCCATCGAGATATTGTTCATTAGTGTATTGCAGGCACGTCCAACTCCCAAGAGACTGTGATCTACTCACTCTATAAAAATACTGGCTGGGATCTACCCATGGTTATTTATTGACAGGCAAAAGTTGTGAGCTTTTTTTAGGGGAGCCAAAGCTTTTTCTGGTGGTGGTGGTGAAGAGATCTACCGTGATCTACCACAGGCCTCCAGTGATCTACCGTAGGTGTCCAGTGATCTACCGGTAGACCACGACCTACCTGTTGGACATGCCTGCTGTATTGCATTTCTATACTGCCTTTTTTTCCTCCAAGGAGCTCACAGTGGCAGACCCCATCCTCAACAACTCTGTGACAGGCAGGGTGGGCTGACAGGCAGAGAGCGGCTCAGGATCAGACCCAGTGGACTTCATGGATCAGTGGGGATATGAATCTGGGTGTCTCCAAGGTTTTAGCTCCTCTCTCTCCCTCCCCTCTAATAAATTAAGAATAAGAATAAATTTATTACTTGTGCCCCAGTGACTCTGGGTGGCTTCCAACAGAATCTAGCAGAACACAGCAAAACATCAGACACTGAAAACTTCCCCAAACAGGGCTGCCTTCAGATGTCTATGGAAAGTCATAGAATTGTTCATCTCATTGACGTCTGAAGGGAGGGCGCCACTACCGAGAAGGCCCTCTGCCTGGTTCCCTTGTAACTTCGCTTCTTGCAGTGAGGGAACCGGCAGAAGGAGGAGGAGGACCTCAGTGTCCGGGCTGAACGATGGGGGTGGAGACACTCCTTCAGGTATACTGAAGGTCAGTACCAACACTTTGAATTGTGCTCGGAAACATACTGGGAGCTGACGTAGATCCTTTAGGACCGGTGTTACCGGTATATCGCCCTGGCGGCCGCTCCAGGTTACCAGTCTAGCTGCTGCAATCTGGATTAGTTGTAGTTTCAGAGTCAGCTTCGAAGATGGAGTGTTCGAAGAGGACTGTTTTTTCCCCACTGTTGGGTTGCTTAGGAATGAGAAGTGGGGGAGAATGTTGGCTTCCCTGCAGTGTTTGCACGTAGACTCTTCTTCAGCAGCATTCTGCCGTAGACATACAGCGTTTTATTTATGTTACACAATTTATACAGGGAAGGCACCTGCTTCATATCAATAGGCGAGGAGTTCCTGCCAGGCTAATGATACATGTCACTTAACCTCTGGATTGTGGGGGGTGGCTCTGTGGAGGAATGATGATCCCTGCCCTATATCAGAGGAGATAGAGAAGTAGGTGACTCTCTGGCCCTTTGGCTGGTATATCCAAAGGACATTAACAGGGTTTTGGAGAGCTGATCTTTCTGAGCTATATCAATGAGGGTTGTGGTTTCATTTTTTAAAAGAAGTGTCCCACCTTGTTTTAAGGGGGTGACAGGTGTCGGGGACCTATAATGTGGGGATCCATAGCATAGAAAATGGGTTGCAGGGGTCCCCAAACTAAGGCCCATGGGCCAGATAAGGCCCGAGGGATTCATTTATCCGGCTCGTGGCACCGCCCACTGCTGCCACCCGCTCTTACTGGCGCTGCACTGCGCGGCTGCCCACTTCCGGGTCGGAGGAGCACCGGAAATAGCTTGTGCGCATGCGCAAGCATTATTTGCACATGCACAAGCTTTATTTGCTCATGTGCAAGAATTATTTCCGGTACACATCCAGGTTGGAGGAGGCCCGTGCACATGCGCACAAGCTATTTCCGGTGCTCCTCCGACCTGGAAGTGCGCCGGAAATAGCGGTGCGCATGCGTATGGGCACAAGCTTCCCCACGTGATCAGCGCTGGAGACACCGGCTGCCTCCAGCTGTTGTGGAGAGCAGCCATGACTTGCCCTCTCTTCCTCGTGACTCCCCAGGTTTCAGGCAGGGGGGCTTTCCCAGCCCTACCTGCAGACGTTAGGTGGTGTGCCTTCTGCATGCCAAGCAGCTGCTCTGCCACTGAGCAGCAGCTCTTTCTGGGAAGAGGTGGGCCGAGGGGTTCTTTAGCTGCGCAGGCATATTCCTTCACTTGCTTTCAAAACGTGGGGAGCTGGCCCTGCTGTGTTTGGGGCCCGCCTGATGGCGCTGCAGGAACAGAGCCCCACCAACCCACATGTAGCCCCCCCTACTTGTTGCCATATATGTTGCGGCCCAACCTCAAAGGATGCCTCCATCAGCCGTGATACCACTTTGGTTGGCATTTGCATGTTAGCATTTGCATTTTACAGAGAGGCCCAGAGAAGCGTTTGGCTTCATGGTTCTTGCTTCTGAGAAAAGAGAAGTGAAAGACCAGAGAGCTGACCTGGAACAGCACCTTTTCCTCTCTATTTCTCTTGAAACAGAACTACTTCTGTGTGCAGAAAGCTCTCCTGCCATGACTTTGTAGGGGGTTGGACTAGATGGTCCCTTCTGACTCTACAATTCACTCTCTCTCTCTCTCTGGGAAGAGCAGGAAGCTTTTTGGAACTGGAGAAATCTGAGACCAAAGGGACGCAGGTGGCGCTGTGGTCCACTGAGCCTCTTGGGCTTGCTGATCAGAAGATCGGCTCGGTTCGAATCCCCATGACGGGGTGAGCTCCCGTTGCTCAGTCCCTGTTCCTGCCAACCTAGCAGTTTGAAAGCACACCAAAAAGTGCAAGTAGATAAATAGGTACCACTCCAGCCGGAAGGTAAATGGTGTTTCTGTGTGCTGCTCTGGTTTCGTCAGAAGCGGCATAGTCATGCTGGCCACATGACCCGGAAAAACTGTCTGCGGACAAACGCCAGCTCCCTCGGCCTGTAGAGCAAGATGAGTGCCGCAACCCCGGAGTCGTCTGCGACTGGACTTAACTGTCAGGGGTCCTTTTTCATTTGAGACCAAGGATGTGGCGCATTGGGTCCCAGAGTAGGCAGTGTTCCCCCTGGGGGGCAGTGGGATTACCAAGGAGGCAGCAGTGGGGCACTGGAGATAGGTCCCTCCAAGCATGCTGATTGCTTATTCACAATTGACCAGGCTGGAGCAGTGGCAGAGCAGGCTTTCACTGCGCCCGGGAATGCGTGGCGCAGAGGGCGAACACAGCACTTCCACAGTAATCCAGTTTTGAAATAACCAGTGCATGAACTATTGCAGCGAGGCTTTCAGTGATCAGTGAGTGGTTGTCCCCCCCTTATTAAAACCTGCACAGTGAGGTGGTGATCCCTTGCATCACTGATCCAGAATGAAGAAAGGATTTGGCAGTCAATGAGGTTTGTAATCTGCCAGGATACTGAACAGCAAAACCAGAAAAGCTTTAGACAATGGGTTTTGTAATGCTTTGCGCTGCAGGCCTTGAAAGCCAGAGCTGTTAAAGTAGTATCTGATAAGCCTGCAAGGCATGCCAGGAATTGCATAACCCTGAGAAGCTGAGTCTGACTCATGATTGGGGTTAGGAAGCCTCTGAAGGACCTGCGTGTCAGGATTAAGATG